ACGAATTAATCAATCAATAGTCGAACTTGTGTCAGTGAACCATTATTATCTGTCCTAAAAATTGTTACAATCTGCAAATATTTTCTGGCTTTAAATAACTTGCAAAGTGTTGATAAGCCGTAAAAAGCGAATCAATCAATCAATCAATAGTCGAACTTGTGTCAGTGAACCATTTTTATCTGTCCTAAAATTGTTACAATCTGCAAATGTTTTCTGGCTTTAAATAACTTGCAAAGTGTTGATAAGCCGTAAAAAACGAATCAATCAATCAATCAATCAATCAATAGTCGAAATTGTGTCAGTGAACCATTATTATCTGTCCTAAAAAATTGTTACAATCTGCAAATGTTTTCTGGCTTTAAATAACATGCAAAGGGTTGATAAGCCGTAAAAAACGAATCAATCAATCAATCAATAGTCGAATTTGTGTCAGTGAACCATTATTATCTCACCTAAAAATTCTTACAATCTGCAAATATTTTCTGGCTTTAAAAAACCTGCAAAGTGTTGATAAGGCGTAGAAAAGAATCAATCAATCAATAGTCGAACTTGTGTCAGTGAACCATTATTATCTGCCCTAAAATTCTTACAATCTGCAAATATTTTCTGGCTTTAAATAACTTGCAAAGTGTTGATAAGCCGTAAAAAACGAATCAATCAATCAATCAATAGTCGAATTTGTGTCAATGAACCATTATTATCTGTCCTAAAAATTGTTACAATCTGCAAATGTTTTCTGGCTTTAAATAACATGCAAAGGGTTGATAAGCCGTAAAAAAAAATCAATCAATCAATCAATCAATAGTCGAAATTGTGTCAGTGAACCATTATTATCTGTCCTAAAATTTGTTACAATCTGCAAATGTTTTCTGTCTTTAAATAACATGCAAAGGGTTGATAAGCCGTAAAAAACGAATCAATCAATAGTCGAAATTGTGTCAGTGAACCATTATTATCTCACCTAAAAATTCTTACAATCTGCAAATATTTTCTGGCTTTAAATAACCTGCAAAGTGTTGATAAGCCGTAGAAAAAAAAATCAATCAATCAATAGTCGAATTTGTGTCAGTGAACCATTATTATCTGCCATAAAATTGTTACAATCTGCAAATATTTTCTGGCTTTAAATAACTTGCAAAGTGTTGATAAGCCGTAAAAAGCGAATCAATCAATCAATCAATAGTCAAAATTGTGTCAGTGAACCATTATTATCTGTCCTAAAAATTGTTACAATCTGCAAATGTTTTCTGGCTTTAAATAACATGCAAAGTGTTGATAAGCCGTAAAAAACGAATCAATCAATCAATCCATAGTTGAACTTGTGTCAGTGAACCATTATTATCTGCCCTAAAAATTCTTACAATCTGCAAAAATTTTCTGGCTTTAAATAACCTGTAAAGTGTTGATAAACCGTAGAAAAAAAATCTATCAATCAATAGTCGAATTTGTGTCAGTGAACCATTATTATATGCCCTAAAATTCTTACAATCTGCAAATATTTTCTGGCTTTAAATAACCTGCAAAGGGTTGATAAGCCGTAGAAAACGAATCAATCAATCAATAGTCGAATTTGTGTCAGTGAACCATTATTATCTGTCCTAAAAATTGTTACAATCTGAAAATGTTTTCTGGCTTTAAATAACTTGCAAAGTGTTGATAAGCCGTAAAAAACGAATCAATCAATCAATCAATCAATCAATAGTCGAAATTGTGTCAGTGAACCATTATTATCTGTCCTAAAAATTGTTACAATCTGCAAATGTTTTCTGTCTTTAAATAACATGCAAAGGGTTGATAAGCCGTAAAAAACGAATCAATCAATAGTCGAAATTTGTCAGTGAACCATTATTATCTCACCCTAAAATTTTACAATCTGCAAATATTTTCTGCTTTTAAATAACCTGCAAAGTGTTGATAAGCCGTAGAAAAAAAAAATCAATCAATCAATAGTCGAATTTGTGTCAGTGAACCATTATTATCTGCCCTAAAATTGTTACAATCTGCAAATATTTTCTGGCTTTTAAATAACCTGCAAAGTGTTGATAAGCCGTAAAAGCGAATCAATCAATCAATCAATAGTCAAAATTGTGTCAGTGAACCATTATTATCTGTCCTAAAAATTGTTACAATCTGCAAATGTTTTCTGGCTTCAAATAACATGCAAAGTGTTGATAAGCCGTAAAAAACGAATCAATCAATCAATCAATCCATAGTCGAACTTGTGTCAGTGAACCATTATCATCTGCCCTAAAAATTCTTACAATCTGCAAATATTTTCTGGCTTTAAATAACCTGCAAAGGGTTGATAAGCCGTAGAAAACCAATCAATCAATCCATAGTCGAACTTGTGTCAGTGAACCATTATTATCTGCCCTAAAAATTCTTACAATCTGCCAATATTTTCTGGCTTTAAATAACCTGTAAAGTGTTGATAAGCCGTAAAAAACGAAAATCAATCAATCAGTCAATCAATAGTCGGATTTGTGTCAGTGAACCATTATTATCTCCCCTAAAATTATTTACAATCTGCAAATATTTTCTGGCTTTAAATAACCTGCAAAAGTGTTGATAAACCGTAGAAAAAAATCAATCAATCAATCAATAGTCGAATTTGTGTCAGTGAACCATTATTATCTGCCCTAACATTCTTACAATCTGCAAATATTTTCTGGCTTTAAATAACCTGCAAAGGGTTGATAAGCCGTAGAAAACGAATCAATCAATCAATAGTCGAATTTGTGTCAGTGAACCATTATTATCTGTCCTAAAAATTGTTACAATCTGCAAATATTTTCTGGCTTTAAATAACCTGCAAAGTGTTGATAAGCCGTAAAAAACGAATCAATCAATCAATCAATCAATCAATAGTCGAATTTGTGTCAGTGAACCATTATTATCTGCCCTAAAAATTCTTACAATCTGCCAATATTTTCTGGCTTTAAATAACCTGTAAAGTGTTGATAAACCGTAAAAAACGAATCAATCAATTAATCAGTCAATCAATAGTCAAAATTGTGTCAGTGAACCATTATTATCTGTCCTAAAAATTGTTACAATCTGCAAATGTTTTCTGGCTTCAAATAACATGCAAAGTGTTGATAAGCCGTAAAAAACGAATCAATCAATCAATCAATCCATAGTCGAACTTGTGTCAGTGAACCATTATTCATCTGCCCTAAAAATTCTTACAATCTGCAAATATTTTCTGGCTTTAAATAACCTGTAAAGTGTTGATAAACCGTAGAAAAAAAATCTATCAATCAATAGTCGAATTTGTGTCAGTGAACCATTATTATCTGCCCTAACATTCTTACAATCTGCAAATATTTTCTGGCTTTAAATAACCTGCAAAGGGTTGATAAGCCGTAGAAAACGAATCAATCAATCAATAGTCGAATTTGTGTCATTGAACCATTATTATCTGTCCTAAAAATTGTTACAATCTGCAAATGTTTTCTGGCTTTAAATAACCTGCAAAGTGTTGATAAGCCGTAAAAAACGAATCAATCAATCAATCAATCAATCAATCAATAGTCGAATTTGTGTCAGTGAACCATTATTATCTGCCCTAAAAATTCTTACAATCTGCAAATATTTTCTGGCTTTAAATAACCTGTAAAGTGTTGATAAACCGTAGAAAAAAAATCTATCAATCAATAGTCGAATTTGTGTCAGTGAACCATTATTATCTGTCCTAACATTCTTACAATCTGCAAATATTTTCTGGCTTTAAATAACCTGCAAAAGGGTTGATAAGCCGTAAAAAACGAATCAATCAATCAATAGTCGAATTTGTGTCAGTGAACCATTATTATCTGTCCTAAAATTGTTACAATCTGCAAATATTTTCTGGCTTTAAATAACCTGCAAAGTGTTGATAAACCTAAAAAAACGAATCAATCAATCAATCAATCAATCAATAGTCGAATTTGTGTCAGTGAACCATTATTATCTGCCCTAAAATTCTTACAATCTGCAAATATTTTTCTGGCTTTAAATAACCTGCAAATGTGTTGATAAACCGTAGAAAAAAAAAATCAATCAATCAATAGTCGAATTTGTGTCAGTGAACCATTATTATCTGTCCTAAAATTGTTACAATCTGCAAATATTTTCTGGCTTTAAATAACCTGCAAAGGGTTGATAAGCCGTAAAAAAGAAAACGAATCAATCAATCAATAGTCGAATTTGTGTCATTGAACCATTATTATCTGTCCTAAAAATTGTTACAATCTGCAAATGTTTTCTGGCTTTAAATAACCTGCAAAGTGTTGATAAGCCGAATCAATCAATCAATCAATCAATCAATCAATAGTCGAATTTGTGTCAGTGAACCATTATTATCTGCCCTAAAAATTCTTACAATCTGCAAATATTTTCTGGCTTTAAATAACCTGCAAAGTGTTGATAAACCGTAGAAAAAAATCTATCAATCAATAGTCGAATTTGTGTCAGTGAACCATTATTATCTGTCCTAAAATTGTTACAATCTGCAAATGTTTTCTGGCTTTAAATAACTTGCAAAGTGTTGATAAGCCGTAAAAAACGAATCAATCAATCAATCAATAGTCGAATTTGTGTCAGTGAACCATTATTATCTCACCTAAAAATTCTTACAATCTGCAAATATTTTCTGGCTTTAAATAACCTGCAAAGGGTTGATAAGCCGTAGAAAACGAATCAATCAATCAATAGTCGAAATTGTGTCAGTGAACCATTATTATCTGCCCTAAATTTATATACCAATGTATCGATTACCTGTACTGTATATATATATATATATATATATATATATATATATATATATATATATATATATATATATATATATTCTCATTTTGTTCATCTCCTTATTCCATTTATCTCTTCTCAATCTATCTATCTACCTATCTATCTAATTCTTTCATTATTTACCATGATCCTTTTCCAATTCCTATTTCGCTCTCACTATCTTCATCTCCCCTTGATTCATGTGTAAACATTTTGACGTTCTACTAATCATGTCACTCTATTCCCCCTCCTCACGCAAATATTCGCTCCCCCCGCCACGTCCGTCCCCAGTTCCTATCCCGGAAAGCATTAAGCAATTTCCTTGCCCTCCATTTGAGTGCAAACAACGGATGCCCGCGAGACGCAAACCTGTTTTATATGAAACGGCGAATACCGGCAGGGAATCTTCACAAAAAAAAAAAATCTCAAAAAAACACAAACTTCAATGAAAGGCCGCCATTGCCCTTACGGCGAGCGACGAATTTTGCAAGCTTGCTTTTTGCCTTAATTTGTTAATAGTTTTACTTTTTGATTCTGCACCTGTGATCTGTAAAATATGCAGGCGTTTCCTTCTTTCTTTCTTTCTTTCTTTCTTTTTTCTTCCTTTCGTTCTTTTTTTTATAGCATCCATATTTGTTCCTTGTTTCTTTCCTTCTTTCTTTCTTTCTTTTCCTGATTTCATTTCCCTTTCGTTCTTTTCTTTTTTGTAGTATTCATATTTCTTCCTTGTTTCTTTCTTTCTTTCCTTATTTCATTCTTTGTTTCTTATTCCGATTTCATTTCTCTTTCGTTCTTTCTTTCTTTCTTTTTTATAGTATCCACATTTCTTCCTTGTTTATTTCTTTCCTTCTTTCCTTCTTTCTTTCTTATTCTGTTTTCCTTTCTCTCTCTTTCTTTCTTTTTTATAGTATCCATACATTTTCTTTCTTCTTTGCTTTGTTTGTTTCCTTCCTTCCTTCCTTCCTTCCTTCCTTCCTTATTATTGTTTCCATTTTTCATTTCTTGTTTCTTTTTTGTTTGTTTCTTTTTTCTTCTGTTTCCCTTTTAACTTCTTTCTTTCTTTCTTTCTTTCTTTCTTTCTTTCAATGCCTTCTTTTTCTTTCGATTATACCATTAACTATCATATCTTTTTACTCTCTTTCTTTCTTTCTTTCTTTCTTTCTTTCTTTCTTTCTTTCTTTCTTTCTTTCTTTCTTTCTTTCAATGCCTTCTTTTTCTTTCGATTATACCATTAACTATCATATATTTTTTCTCCTCTTCTTTTCTTTCTTTTTTCTTTCTTTCTTTTTCAATGCCTTTTTCTTTCGATTATACCATTAACTATCATATCTTTTTACTCTCCTTCTTTCTTTTCTTTCTTTTCTTTCTTTCTTTCTTTCTTTCTTTCTTTCTTTTTGCTCTTTATTTCACTTCTTTATTCCCTCACTTTCAACGCCCTTCTCTTCTTCAAATTCTTGGGGAATCTTTTTGTCACTCCAGACCCCCGTCAGCCCGCCCGATTTCAGTGTCTCACCCAAAACATCTTCATCCCCCCCGACTCTCATCATAACAACGAGGCAGACGCCGAAATGTTAAAGCTGCGCCCCTTTTCCCCACCCACGTCACAAACCCAAACCTTAAGAAAATATTGAACCAACTTTCATAATATTTCTTGATTCTTCGAAACAACTGCCCCAAATCATTTTCTGTCGCCCAAGTCTCTATTTTTCTTCACTTTCTTTTTCTTTTTTTCTTCACTTTCTTTCTTTCTTTCTTTCTTTCTTTCTTTTTTTTTCTTTCTTTCTTTTTCTTTCTTTCTTTCTTTCTTTCTTTCTTTCTTTCTTTCTTTCTTTCTTTCTTACCTCATATTAATCCTGTCTTTCTTTTTTCCCGCCCGATACTGAGCGGACTTGCACTCTGCTGTGGAAAATAAAGACTTTAAAATCGTTTCTGTTTTGCCATCACAGACAACGCATCTGTCAGGCGCTGCGCGGGGGGTGGAGAATGGACTTGAAAACGTAGAAGCTGGCCCTTGTCATTCGCAACCCAGCCCACAATCATAAGTAAACAAACATTAATGGTTTCCCAAATATTGGCGAAATATCACCAACACTGTCACAGGACTTTGAATAATAAATATAGCAAGTCAGAAGGAAAAGTGATAGATAGATAGATAGATAGATAGATAGATAGATAGATAGATAGATAGATAGATAGAGAGAGAGGGGAGATAGAGCGAGATAGAAAGAAATGGTGAGATAAAAAGGAGAAAGAAAGATTGAATGTAAGGAAAAAGAGAAAGTAAGGGAGAAAAGGAAAGTAAGATAGAGAGAAAGAAGAAAAGAAATGACAAAGAAACATGGAAGAGATATAAAAAGTGAAAGAGAGAGTGAGAGGGGGATAGTGAATAAGAAAGAGAAAGACAGTATAAGGCAGAGAGAAAGGATAAGCAGCCTAGAGAGACGAAGAGAGAAATCAAAAGAGAATGTGAGAGAAATAGCAAGAAAGAGAAAATCAAGAAAGAAAAGGAGAGAAAGAAAAGAGGAAAAGGAATAAAGTAATTAAAGGGAAAAAAAGTAGAAAGACAGTACGCAAAGGAAGGATTATAAAAATGAAACAGAGAGCGAGGAAGAGAGTGAGGGAGAGAGAGAGAAGAGAAGAGATGGGAGGAGAGGAAGATAGGATAGATAGATAGATAGATAGAGAGAGAGAGAGAGAGAGAGAGAGAGAGAGATGGGAAGTGCATAAATAATAGATAGATAGCGAAGTAGATTTTTCTTTGTTATACAATTTAGGAAAAGAACAGATTGTGGAAAACCATGATCGCCCACGTCCTGATCGCCCACGATCTGATCGCCCACGTCCTGAGCGCCCACGACCTGATCGCCCACGTCCTGATCGCCCACGATCTGATCGCCCACGACCTGACCGCCCACGACCTGATCGCCCACGTCCTGATCGCCCACGATCTGATCGCCCACGTCCTGACCGCCCACGACCTGACCGCCCACGACATGATCGCCCACCACCTGATCGCCCACCACCTGACCGTCCACGACTGATCGCCCACGTCCTAAAGGAACGCAGCAAAAAAAGAATACATTTAAAAATCCGTTGACGATGTGCGATTTATACACGACGAAAAAATTTACGTAATATTATTTCGATATCAGTGGATGTAATGGATACTGGCTCGGAATGTGAAATCGGAGAGTCGAGTTCGAATTCCAGTCGAATTACTTACATTCACTTACTTCCCATACCTTGGGAAAGGTATGAACCCATCTCTCCTCCCGCCAGATATAGGTAAATAACAGGACAGACTGGGTCCTATAGCCCAGTTTGGCAAACAGTGTAAGAGAAGGACAACTCTGAATTCAAGCCAGCCGGTTGGGTCCCGTCAGGCTATCTTACCCAAGACACAGCACTGCTGACACAGCTGCACTACATATAGTGTATCTACGATACTCATAGGTTACTGGACTAGTGATCCTGATCGCAAATTAATAAGATTATCTCTTTCAGATACAACGACAAATTACATTATTTGTATTTGAGGGAAGAAGATTATAGTGTTTCCCTTTTGGAAATATTTCCATTTCAAATACTGGTGCCATACATAAATATGTCTGCGACAAAGCCAGGTTTCATTTGAGATTTATTTGTTACCGCACGAATGCACACACACACACACACACACACACACACACACACACACACACACACACACATATATATATATATATATATATATATATATATATATATATATATATATCATAATAATTGCTATCTCTTGTATATCCTTGCTTGAATCGGCTTGTAATACTCTGGATGGAGCAGCTCAGGGATAATAGTCATGGCTCGTGGGGGCACAGTTCTATGGGTAAAAGAGAAACTCGGATGAGTTCCACCACGGAATATGTGATCGAGCGGCGCTATATTGAGTCTAATTCGCTACCTTTTCGTCACCGAGGCCCGTTGGAACAGTTGGTATGACGTTTGCCTAATAACATAACTGTCCGGGTTTCAATTATCAGTAGTGGATGCGCAATGCTGATGAGTCCCGAATATAGGACAAAACGGCTGTCCAGTGAATTCTGTTGAGGCTGATGAATTACTTAATTAGAATTATCTCAAATCCTCCTAATAATTTCTATGACATATATATATTTTCTGGGAAAATAAATTATAGTCATGAAACCATAAGATTTTCTTTTTCTTTATATATATATATATATTAAGACATTTTTAAGTTTATACATTCTATTTTATAGATACAAATATTTATATTTATTTTATAGATACAAATATTTAAGTCAATGCTCTGTTTTATAATAAACAGTATTAACAACATTTACTGGCCTGAATGTCCGAGAAATGTTGTTTAATACTGTTTATTATAAACAGAGCATTGACTTAAATATTTGTATCTATAAAAAAGAATGTATAGACATAAAAATGTCTTAAAATAATTCTCGAACTTTGTCCATTTCATAATATATATATATATATATATATATATATATATATATGTATCGATGGGTAAATTGTCGCCATTTTACATTTTTAATTTCGCGCATCAGCGTTGTTTGTTTTTTGGTTTTGTCGATTGCAGAGTATAATAGGGCAGTTAGACACCGTGTATGAGGGAAAAAGAGCACCCTGATGCAATTCACTCCGCCAGAAATTTGGAGACGAGATGCGGTACTGTTTGGCATTCGCACCAGAAGCTCCAGCACGAACATTTCAGAGTATCTGGGTGTCAATCTGAGGACAGTGTACAGGATTCAGAAAGAGTTGGATGAGTCTAATGGTGATTACGAAGGTGTTTGAAGTGATCACTAGTGATGCCTCCATTCATCTTCCTACAGGGCCTCAGACTCAACACGTAGGCCTACATCAAGTGCCTTGATGAGATGTTGCTGCCCAGAGTCAAGAGGGTGGCGGCTAAAACACCCCATGTCTCGTAACAGAACTCATGCCACACAAGCAGGAGAACGCAGTGAGGTGCAGTTGAACGAGAGACCAACAAAACTCCTTTTAACACCAAAGATGAACTGAAGGCAAGGATTATGGCGGTATTCACCATTTTAAACAAGGAGACCACCCAGAAAAGTTATCGGAGATTTCGTAGTTGTCTGGAGGCAGTGGTTGAAGGCAATGAAGATTTTTATTGAATAAATGTACTCTTTAGTATTTCATGATATTTTTGTGTAATTTTGGTAAATATACCTGTTAAAATGAGACGACAGTTTATCCATCGCACCCTTTATATCTGTTAAAATAAGATGCCTGTGCTATTTTCATTTTTGTGTAACGTAGACGACAATTTATCCATCGCATTCTGTATATAGAGCACACACACACATATATATATATATATATATATATATATATATATATATATATATATATATATATATATATATATATATTATTTTATAATATGTGGAAATCTCCGCTTTTACCTGAAGACGGTCGCGAGACCAGAAACACGTGTCTTAAAATTATGTAAAACAAAGCATAATATTTTTTTCTAAATAAATCCACATTACAACCAAAAACGTTTGCGGCACCTCTCTTCTCTTTTTAATATACATACTTTTCTCTCGTTGGAACCACTACCTCTTTCTTTTATTTCTTTTATATATATATATATATATATATATATATATATATATATATATATATATATACCATTCTTGATTTCCACCAATTCAGACCTTCTATATAATAAATGCGAATGTCAGTGTCAAACTTTTTCAACTTTACTTCTAGAGGCCGTATCATACCATTTTGGAATCAGACCGACCCCATAAGCAAATTAAAAATCTTCCGGGTCCTGATCCCGACTCGCAATCCTGAGATTTGGGATTCTCAAATTTTTATTACGGCCATTGTTTTCGGAAATTTTTTACGTGATTTTTTGCGACGAATTTTTGGTATGATAAGATTTTTTTATAACTTGGAAATAAATTTAGGAACAATTGAAATTAATTGTGAAATCCAGCGAAAGTCAGCCATGAAATATAAAAAAATAATTATTCTGTATGTGTGTATTGTAAAGTCTCATGAAATTCTTACAGGTCTTATATCTGTAAACCGAATCTGGGTGATGTTCATACAAGTTTCTTGGAGTTTCCTTCCTGTAAAAGTTTCCTATTTTCCAGTACAGATATTAGCCTACTCTATCATTTCGAGTTTTATATTCAGTGGGTGTTAACACCGTTTAACCTGATACAAGATGGTCAATTTCTTTTGGATATTTATCACAGAATCTGCACTTCAGGTTAACAATTTTTTTTCAGTAGCTTCTTCTTCTTCTTCTGTTAACAATTTTTCTTCATTACTAAATGCTTCTTCTTGTTTCTTCTTCTTCTTTTGTTTCTTCTTCTTCTTCTTTTGTTTCTTCTTCTTCTTCTTTTGTTTCTTCTTCTTCTTCTTCTTTTGTTTCTTCTTCTTCTTCTTTTGTTTCTTCTTCTTCTTCTTCTTTTGTTTCTTCTTCTTCTTCTTTTCTTTTGTTTCTTCTTCTTCTTTTGTTTCTTCTTCTTCTTTTTGTTTCTTCTTCTTCTTCTTCTTTTGTTTCTTCTTCTTCTTTTGTTTCTTCTTCTTCTTCTTTTGTTTCTTCTTCTTCTTCTTTTGTTTCTTCTTCTTCTTCTTTTGTTTCTTCTTCCATTTCTTCTTCTTTTCCTCTTCTTTTCTTTTGTTTCTTCTTTTCTTCTTTCCTCCCCTTCTTCTCATTTTTTCTTCTTTTTTTTCTTTCTTCTTCTTCTTTTCTTCTTCTTCTTTCTTCTTTTTTCTTCTTCTTCTTTCTTATTTTTGTTTGTTTCTTCTTCTTCTTTCATTAATTTCTTCTTCTTCTTCTTTGTTTTTCTTTTGTTTCTTCTTCTTCTTTTTTTTCTTTTCTTCTTCTTTTGTTTCTTCTTCTTCTTTCTTCTTCTTCTTTTCTTCTTTCTTCTTCTTCTTCTTTGTTTCTTCTTCTTCTTCTTTTGTTTCTTCTTCTTCTTTTGTTTCTTTTCTTCTTCTTCTTTTCTTCTTCTTCTTCTTCTTCTTCTTTTCTTCTTCTTCTTTTGTTTTCATTCTTCTTCTTCTTCATTTTTTTTCTTCTTCTTCTTCTTCTTCTTCTTCTTGTTTATTATTGTTTCTTTTCTTCTTCTTCTTCTTTTTCTTCTTCTTCTTTTGTTTCTTCTTCTTCTTCTTCTTTCTTCTTCTTCTTTTCTTCTTCTTCTTTTTGTTTCTTCTTCTTCTTTTTTTCATTCTTCTTCTTCTTCTTCTTTTCTTTCTTCTTCTTCTTACCCATTTTCTTCTTCTTCTTCTTCTAATTTCTTTTCTTCTTTTCTTCTTCTTCTTTTCTTTTCTTTTCTTTCATTAATTTTTCTTCTTCTTTTTTTTCTTCTTCTTCTTTTTTTTCTTCTTATTTTTCTTTTTTTTCTTCTTCTTCTTATTCTTCTTTTTTCATTAATTTTCTTCTTCTTCTTCTTCTTCTTTTTTTTTTATTTCTTCTTCTTCTTGTTTCTCCTTCTTCTTCTTCTTTTTCTTTCTTCTTCTTCTTCTTTTTTTTCTTCTTCTTCTTCTTTCTTTTCTTCTTCTTGTTTTCTTATTTTTCTTTTTCTTCTTCCATCTTTTGTTTCTTCTTCTTCTTCTTTTTCTTAATTTCTCTTCTTCATCTTTTGTTTCTTCTTCTTCTTTTGTTTTCATTCTTTTGTTTCTTCTTCTTCTTCTTTTTTCTTTTCTTTTTTCTTCTTCTTTTTGTTTCTTCTTCTTCTTCTTTCTTCTTTTACCCTTCTTTTTCTTTTCTTCTTTTTCTTCTTTTCTCTTCTTCTTCTTCTTTTTTTTTCTTCTTCTTCTTTTTTTTCTTCTTCTTCTTCTTTTGTTTCTTCTTCTTCTTCTTTTCTTTTTCTTCTTCTTTTTTTTCTTCTTCTTCTTCTTTTCTTCTTCTTCTTTTCTTTCTTCTTCTTCTTCTTTTTTTCTTCTTCTTCTTCTTTTTTCATTCTTCTCCTTCTTCTTCTTCTTTTCTTCTTCTTCTTCTTCTTCTTTGTTTTTCTTCTTCTTCATTTTCTTCTTCTTCTTCTTTGTTTCTTTTTCATTATTCTTCTTTTTTTCCTCCTTCTTCTTCTTCTTTGTTTTCTTCTTCTTTTTGTTTCTTCTTCTTCTTCTTTTCTTCTTCTTCTTTTGTTTCTTCTTCTTCTTTTTCTTTTCTTCTTCTTCTTCTTCTTTTTTTCTTCTTCTTCTTCTTCTTTTCTTTTCTTCTTATTTCTTTTTTTCTTTTCTTTTCTTCTTCTTCTTTTTTCCTTCTTCTTCTTTAATTTCTCTTCTTCTTCTTTTTTTTCTTCTTCTTCTTTTCATTTTTTCTTCTTCTTCTTCTTCTTCTTTTTTGTTTCTTCTTCTTTTCTTTTCATTCTTTTTTTCTTTTTTTCTTCTCTTTTTTTTCTTATTTCTTCTTCTTCTTTTGTTTCTTTCTTCTTCTTCTTTTTTCTTTTTCTTTTTTTCTTCTTCTTCTTCTTTGTTTTCATTATTTTCTTTTCTTTCCTTTCTTCTTCTTCTTCTTTGTTTTTTTCATTAATTTCTCTTCTTCTTCTTCTTCTTCTTCTTCTTTTTGTTTTTTTGTTTCTTCTTCTTCTTTCTTCTTTTGTTTCTTCTTTTCATTA